GACCAGGCCCCCTACATGCAGCCATTCGTTCTTCCATCCAGCAAGTATCCGTGGACCCCCTGCTCTGGGCCAGGCACTGTGCTGGGCTCTGGGGCTGTCACAGTGAGCGCGGTGGACACAGGCTCTGGCCTTGTGGGTGGGAAGCTGGTGTTCCCGTGGGCATGTGGTTCATGAACAGGAAGTGTATGCATGTGATACACTGCAGGGAGTTAAGTGCTGTGCAGACAAATAGAGCAGGACAAGGGCTTGGGAGTCACTGAGGTCAGCTGCTGGCTTAGCCTCCTCCCAAGGCCTCTGGTGCCTCTGCAGTTGGCCGTGGCTCCCAGAATCCTGGCTAGAGTTGCCTGGATGCCTCTACAGGGCCCCCAGTGTCTGCTTGGACTTAGCATTGCCATCAAGTGGCTGCTGGTGCAAGATGCCAGCCTGTCCTTGAGATGGTGTCCCCTCCGGGGGGTCTGGCCCAGCCGTGTCCCATGAAGGGGGTCCCTGGTCTCCAGCCTGCTTCTGTCTCTCAAAGCCATGTCTCACTCTGCACAGCTGCCCGGGCTGCAGTCACAGCTGGTGACCCTCAAGCCCAAGCCTTCTTGCTGGGCTCCAGGCCACTAGGACATACGTGTCCTGGATGGGGCCTACAGCAGATGGGGCCTACCAGCTGTGTCCACAGCCCTGCAGGGTGCTTGGTTTCCCCTAGAAAGCCTGCCCCCCTTCCCAGCACCACTACCTGCCACAGCCTCAGACCAAAGCCACCTCCTGGCTCACACCTGCCTGCCACCGGTCATCACCACATGGTCACGCCCACCTCCCAGATGGGGCTGGAGTCTGCCCCTCTTCTCCAGCTCCAGCAGCACCCCCTTCTCTCCAAGCTGCCTCCATCTTACCCTGAGGTGGTTCTCCACGCACAGGTCAGACTAGGATTTCTGGAATGCAGCCCCTGTCTTGCCGAAGGGCTCCCCTGTGCCCTGGGCTGTGGTCCGAGTTGCTTACCGTGCCTGGTATACAGGTGACTTCTGGCCCCACTGAGCTCTCTGCTGTCATCACCACTTCTCTTTCGCCCTGTCCCTGCCACCAAGGGCCTGTCTTGTAGGCCAGGGGCCGGGCCGTGCCCTCCCTTCTCCCTGGCTGTTCTGTCACTCTCCACTCATCCCCTTCCTTCTTCCCTCCCTCTCAGGATCCTTAAGAATCTGTAAAATGTGTTTAATAATTGTACTCCCCTCATGGGGGGGGTGGTGTCTTAAAGCATCCAGAGTAGTGCATGGCACCAAGGAAGCACTGTGTTCGTGTAACAAGAACAAAGTCAAGTGCACAGGTTCATTTATGGAGCACCTGCTGTGTGGCCGGCACCGACTCCGTGTTCCGGCTCCCTGCCCTCGGAGTCCACAGTGCTCTCTGTGGCAAATTCTTCCCCTCTCACATCCCACCCTCCCCCTCCCCGGAGAATTCTGTCATGCCCCCTGGGGACACCTGACCCTCCAGGACCAGCGTAGGTCCTGGGAGGTCCTTGCAGACAGCTGCCTGCTGCTTCTTAACATTTTCCTATGGCGGTGTCCCCACTGCCCTCTGCAGACCTGTTTCTTTCTCACACTGGTTCCTCCCAGAGTCCTATCCATCCTTTCAGGGGTACATGCCAGTAGCTCCAGAGACCTTGACCCCTTAGTCCTCTTCTCCTCTCACCCACCCTGCAAAATCCTTTCTGTCAGCAAACCCCATTGGCTCTACTGTCAAACAGATCTAGAAGCCGACCCATTTTTACCAGACCTTACCCACCATTATTTGCGAACCCAGCACCTGTTGCCTGGACCAGTCCAGTAGCCTCTCCTCACTGGTCTCTGCCTCTGCCCTTGACCCCACCGCTTACAAGCTGTGCATCCTTAGGCAGCTTCCTGAACCTCCCTGGGCCTTTCACGCCACACAGAGGGATGTTTAGAAACGTCTCTGCTCACTCAAAGATTTGTCAAAGAAAAGAAGGAAGAATGGAATGAATGAATGAACGGTCCGTTTTGCATCTGTAGTACCCGGCACATAATAGGTGCTCAGAAAACACATGCAACAAGAATGCATGAAGGTGTGAGCGAGTGGTGAGGACCTGGAGGACACAGTACGGACACAAGAGCCTGGGGGACTCTGTTGGCTCAGGTGACTGAATCTTGCTCCCGGTTACAGTAGAACCAGCCTGTTGCCACCCGTCCTCATCCCTTGCTGGGCTGGGGCTGGGGCAGGCAGGCAGCCCAGGCCATTTTAGAGCTCCGGCCTGGCCTGCCTCATGGTCCTTGGTGGGGCTGCTGATGTAGCTGCCAATTCTGGGAACCCCAGCCAGGCAGCAGTTCCGGGAAGGCTGCCGCCTCAGGGAGAAGTGTGTTCCTGGCCCCCCGCCAGATCACCCAGCTGTCCCGAGGCTGGCGGAAGATTGTGGAGTGTCAGGGATCAGTGGCTCCCTGCAGCCCCTGCTGTGCCTCTGGCTTCCTCTCCACATTCCCCTCGTCATGGGACTGGCTGCGTCCTGTCTGCTGACCCAGCTCCCGCCTCCCTTCACACTGGTTTGTGGTCAAGACTAGGGAGCGGAACGGCAGGCCCTCTGGGCTCAGGAAGAGCTTCCTTGGTCACTTCCGGACCGCTGCTAGCTTCTGACACCTCACGACTTGCCTCTCATCTCCCCCCAAATAAAAAGAGTGAGTTCAGTGTGTTTCCCTGCCAGCAGGAGTGATTTTTTCCACGCTAGCGCTTCTGCTGTCTTCCTGGCTCAGGCTGTCACCAACTCTGCCGCTTCCTAACTCTGACCTCTGCCTTGTCACTCGCCCTCTCTAGGCCTCAATTGTTCTCTTTGGCCAGTGACACCACATCCCAGCGTTGCAGGGGACTGCATTTCAGAGGTAGCGAAACACATCGGTTAGGCATGTGGATTCCGTAATGAGACCGCCCCGGTTCAGATCCTAGCTGTGTGGCCTCAAGCTAGTGCTCTAACCTCTCTGTGCCTCAGTCTCCTTGTCTGTAAAATGGGGATTTTAAGGGCACCCCCCCCTCATAGAGTTGTCATGGAAACCAAATTGATTAATACATAGTAAGCACTGAGAACAACGCCAGGCACATAATAAGCACTACATATGCAGAGCAGTTACCATGGGCAAAAGCTTGGTATGTACTCCATGTTTAAAAATATAATAGATGGTTGATTTTTGTTATTGTTGAATTTTAGCTGTTTAATAGATGTTTACTGAGCACATACTCTGTATATGTCAGACACTGTTTTAGACACTGGGGACAGGGCAGTGACCGTGGCAGACAAAGCTCTGCCCTCATGGGGCTCACATTCTCATGGGGGGACGACACACAATACGTGTCTAGACAAAGAAATCCGCTACATGGTACAGAGTATCTTATACCCCCAACTTCATGAAGCAGAATGCGAGGGGCTGTGTCTCCTCTGCCTGCTTTCGTCTTATTGGCTTGTGAGACCTCTTTATATATGAAGGTCATTAACCCTCTGTCATGTGGGTGGCTACCTTTTTCTAGTTTCCAGCTTTCTGTTTCTTTGTGGTGTGTTTGGACGTGGGGAAGTTGAAACCTTTTTACCGTCTACATCCTGAAATAAAATACATTCACCCATGTGACCTCGTTGATGCGATTAGAGGTGATGATAAGTAGACGACAGAAATAAACAGGGTGCTGTGATGAAAAGTAAATAGGAGAGCCCTTTGCAGATGATGGGGTCTGAAGGCTGCGAGGAAGAAGAGGGCTGGGAGTGGGTCAGAGCGCTCCAGCCAGTGGGACCAAAGGGTTGTCGGGGGAGGGAGAGGGCATAGGCATAGGCGGGGATAGCAGGCGGGCAGCAGGGGGCTTCAGGTTGGTTTTTTGTTTTTTTTTTTCATTTTCTTAAACTTTTGTGATACTTGTAGACTCACAGTTGTAAGAAATAATAGAGATTCCCCGTGCCCTCAGATTCTTCCAAGGGTACCTACCATCTTGCCAGACCGCAGTCCAGTGTCCCAGCCAGGATATTGACACAGACACAACCCACAGCTCTCGTTCCCATCGTCCCCGCCTCACTTATGCGCACGCGCGCATGTCTTTAGTTCTGCTCCACGGACAGCTCCGTGTGTCTCCACCACCGCAGCCAAGTAAAGGACAGTTCTACCATCACAAGGATCCCTGCTTGTTGCCATTTATAGCCACATCGACCTCCCTTCCTGCCCGCCCCCCTTATCCCTCCGGGAACCACTAGCTTGTTTTCCATTTCCATATATTGTCATTTCAAGAACGTTATGTAAGTGGAATCGCCCTTTTGACTTCACTGCTTTGACTCCTGGGCTCGGATTGTATTTGGAGTCAGAGGTGCCCCTCTGGTGTAGGCCATGAACCCCTGGTAAAGACACCACAGAAGCCAACGGAAGGCTCAAGCAGGCAGTTCAGGGCCTGGTTTCTGATTTAAAAACGATTCTGCCTGCAGTGTGGCGAAGAGAGTGACCCCTGTCTGCAGCCATCCGTGGTCCCTCGTCCCCTTATTCTCTTAGCCCCAGACGAGCTTTTTGAAAAATCTTGGCCACAGCATTTCTAAACTATATTTCAAGGGATTTTTAAATCTTTCAGGAGTTTTGACGTACACACACACACTCACACACATGCGAGGATTGGGTTGGAAATAAATTTGCTAAGCGTTGGGTTAACTGAAGAAAAATAGATTGCCTTACTGCAGGACTTATCAGAATCTTTACATGCAAAAATGTGCATTATGAACTTTCAAAAGCCCGAGGGGCTGCTCAAACTTAGCAGGCCATGATATTGTTTTTCAAGAATCCTCTCTTGGGGCACTCAGGAGTTGTGTGGCTCTCACTCTGGTGTTTGTGCGTCTAGTTGGATTTTGGGACTGTCAACAGAGCTCTGTCATTGTTGACAGAGACACAGTGGCCAGGGTGGGGGTGGAGGGATGGTGATATCTGGGGTAAGGTGAGATCTGAAGGCTGCATCTGGGATGCTCAGTGCTAACCTGGTTCATTTTCTCTTCGCAGGTGCCTAAGGGTCTCCCAATGGGGTGGCTTGGCTCCGGGCTCACGCTCCCTGTGAGCTGCCTGATCCTGGTGTGGGCAGCAGGCGCAGGTAAGTCACCTATGCCTCATTCATTCATTCAGCCTCATTCATTCAGCAAACGTTTACTGACTGTTTACTCGCCGGGCTCCTGGGATAATCAGTGAACAAAATAAAGACCCATGGCCTTGAGAAGATCACATTGTAGTGAAAGGAGACAGCCAATGGCCAATGGCCTTCCCTAATTCTAAATACATTCTAAAGATTGTTAGAAGGGGATGGAAAAAAACAACCTAGAGCAGAGTAGGGAGGACTGGGAAAGTGGGGCGGGTAGAGTGGACGATTGCAATTGAAAATATGTGCTCAGAGATGTCCTCACTGGGTGGCAGACAGTTGAGCAGAGACTTGAAGTAAGCGGGGAGCCATGCCGATATCTGGGGGAGGAGGCTTTCTAGAGGCCCTGAGCCGAGAGCCTGCCTGGGCGTTAGGGGAACAGAAGGCGGCCAGTGTGGGGCAGGCTGTGGGCAGGAGGCAGGAAGAGAGGAAGTCAGCGAAGTGGCAGGGTGACCTAGTTAAGAGGGCCCTGGCAGGGTTTGAGAAGAGGTGCGACATGACCTGTTACATTAAAAGGGACACCTTGGGTTGTGAGCACAAGGGTGGGAGGAGGAGGCCAGGGAGGAGGTGCGCAGCAAGCGGGGTGGCTCAGCCCAGCTGAGGAGACAGGAGGAGACTGGCTTCTGGAACCGTCTGGGGCAGGGGTCGGCAGACTGCAGCTCGTGAGCCACATGGGGTACGTACATGTGGCTCTGAAGTAAAATTGAAAATGAAAATAAAACTATCATAGTTTTACTTATAAAATTTTTAAAGGATATTGTTCACATAATGGTGATTTCATTTGTTTTATGGCTCTCGAATAATTTTTAAATTGTTGTGAGGGCCAGGATTGGCTCTTCTGTCTCAAAAGTTTGCTGACCCCTGATCTGGGGGCACCGGGGGAGATTTGAAGGCACATTGGAATTGAGGTGAGAGAGAGAGAGAGGTGTCCAGGGTGATGCTCAGATTTCTGACCTGAGTGACCAGGAGGGACACGGTTGTCATTTCTGAGAAGCAGAGGAATCAGGAATTGGTTTTGGATATGTGGTGAGCTAGAGGTACTTACTAGATATCTAAGACTCTCCTTAACGTCGTCAGTCCTTTACCCAGTGAACAAGTGCAAATTGATGGCAGCTGTGATGGGGCCAGAGCCAGCATAGAAGCGAGAAGGCACCTGCCGGTCAGGTGCTGGGCGGTCTAGAGCCAAGCCCTCTGGCTTGATGGCTCTCTGATGATTTGGCAGACCCAGCAGACATTTGGCAGGGTTCAAATCTCAGCTCTGCCACTGACTGGCTGGAAGAAGTCCCCCCACCTCTCACCCTGCCCTTTGATACTGGCTGAACCCAGAGGACCAGGGCACTTGGGTGACAAGACCATGGGGGGCCAGCCTCCTGAGTGCAGAGAGGGGTAGAGTGCAGATGGGGGATGGGGAGCAGGCCATGGATAACAGCCCCTCCCCCACTCACCTGCTGTAGGACAGATGCCCATAGCTTTCCTTTAATTTGGCTGAGGCCAAGTAGTTCAACTGCATAACCTACAGGTGCGTCTGGTGTATCCCCTCTGATGGACCCTGCATCCCAGGGTATGTCTTCAGCTTCAACCATCACCCCAGTGCCAGGGGGAAAGCACAGGGAACCCTGGTCCTGGCCCAGCTCTGTGAACACTGGCATATGAGCCTGTGCCTGGGACTGTGGTTCCCTTGTTTTGTGTGTGATGGTCTCCTCAGTCCTGTTTGGGATGATTTCCGACTTGTCCCGGTGGCGCGTGTCCCTCTTGCTGAGCGTGTTCCTGTGTCTCCTCAGGGAGTGTTAAGGTCCTGCACCCACCCACCTGCTTCTCCGACTACATGAGCACCTCCACCTGTGAGTGGACGATGGATGGCCCCACCAACTGCAGCGCTGACCTCCGCCTGTCCTACCTGCTGGATTTTCCAAACTCTGAGTAAGCCAGTGCTGGAGGAGGGGACGGCGGGGTGGGGGAGCTGGCAAGGCTGGCCCTGGGAGTTCGCCTGGTCTGGGCGGTGCCCCGGTGTGCATGGTGCTAAATGAGGCTCATTGTGGCTTCCTGTGCACGGGTACAGGTGAGGTGCCCAAGGGCGCAGTGTGTGTAAGGTACAGTGAGTACGTCAGGATGCTCAGAGTGCCCTGTCACCGATGCCTGTGGGTATGGGTAGAATATTGGACTAGACCAGCGGTTCTCAGACATTTTAGTCTCAGGACTCTTTCGCATGCTTAAACATTAGTGAGGACCCCCAAAGCTTTTGTCTAGGTAGCTTATGGCTATCAATATTTGCCCTCTTAGGAATTAAAACAGAACCTTTGAATCACAGCAGCACATGAGCCCACATTCAGTGACATCATCACATATCATGGAGCTTCTGGGAAACTCCACGCTTGTGAGAGAAGGACTGAAAGTGGCAAATACCATCTTAGTGTGATCATGAAAATAGGTTGACCTAGTGGTCCCCTGGACTCCACTTTGAGACTCACTGGACTAGACCATTGTTTGGGGGTACAGTGTTAGCAGTGGAGTTCACCCTGGAACATGGGGTACATTGTTCTCTGTGGTCCACTGGAATAATCCATGGACACGGGGTACTGTGACAAGGTGGTGCCCAGGACATGATTGGATACCCAGGGCACGCAGCTCCAGGGCTGTGCTGGAATGCACAGCACCCCAGCATGTTGGGGGCACCGACAGAGGTAGTATTCTATGACATCCTGAGGTGAGTGGGCTGTGCTTCTCTATGTGGTACGTGGACCTACGCCAGAGATTGCAAACTATGGCCCACGAGCCACATTTGGCCCACCACCTGTTTTTGTATATAAAGTTTTATTGGCACACGGCCACACCCATTCATTTGCATATTGTCTGTGGCTGGTGGCTTTTGTGCTCCATCAGCTGAGTTGTGTATTTGGAACAGAAACAGTATGAGCCTCAAAGTGTAGAATATTTACTGTCTAGCCCTTTGCAGAAAACGTTTGCCATCCCCTGGCCTAGCCCGTGAGATGCAGGGTTGACTGTTTGGGGACACGTTAGGATTTTCTGCACACAGGGCAGCGTGTCAGGGCATGCCACAGTCTGCTGGACATCAGGATAAACTGTGCTCCCCAGAGGTACGCTGGGACATACGCATAAGCTGTTACAAATTCTTTGACGCCATGGGTTCGTCCCTTTCACTGGCTTCTAGGGATAAGCCAAGTCCTAGGCCCAAGGCCGCGGCCAGGGGCGTGTAAGAGTCCCTGGTGGGAATGGTGAAGGGCTGTGGTCAGCAGGGAAGGGCAGTCCTAGTCAATGTGCCCCCCCCATACCCTGGCCACTTTGCTCCCAAGGTCACAGATCTGGTCCTGGAGGCAGGACCACCAGGAAGCTGGGAGAGTATGTGGCTCCTTGAGGCATGTTCGGGGGACCCCCATGGGCCACATGACCAGGCCTAATGCAGCACTGTGTCTGCAGAAACCAAACGTGTATCCCTGAGAACAGAGAAAGCGCAGTGTGTGTGTGCGATATGCTGATGGAAGACGTGGTCTATGTGGACATCTATCTGCTGGACCTGTGGGCTGGGACGCGGCTGCTGTGGAATGACACCTTCACACCCAGCAAGCGTGGTGAGTGGGGCCTGGAGGTTGGCGGGGGCGCAGGTGTTCCCCCACAGCTGCGCTCCGGCAGGGGAGGCAGGCTCCTTTAGGGAGGGGTTCCAAGCATCCTCTTCCCTTTCCCCAAACTTGATGGGGTTCTTGCCCCTTTCTGGGCCTCAGTCCTCCCATCTTTGAAATGGGGTTGGGCCTCACAGCATGTTAGGTCCCCTTTAGCTCTGTTATTTCAACCCCCTGAATGTAAGGGCTCTGATTGGGGTGTCAAGATCAGGCATGTTTGATGGACGACATGCTTGCTGCAGATCAAAAACTTAACTGGGAACCATCCTTCTACTCTGCCAGCTGCTCAGCTGCCTTTTTAAGGCAGCCTATAGACCCCGGAAGGCTGGTTTCCCCTGGTACCCAGAGTCCCCACAGGCATCCCTCATGAGCTGGCTGGGGTAGAGTGACAGGAGTTTAAAACACCATTTATTGCTGTGTGACCTTGGGCAAGTCACATTGCCTGTTTAAGCCTCAGTTTGCCCAAGAGAGTGATTATCTCCATTTTGCAATTGAATGAACTGTCGTACAGAGAAGGCAAGTAACCTGCCTAAGGTCACACAGCTACTGAGAGCAGAGACAGTTTGTCACAGAGCCCACTGCCTTCCCCACTCCACCAGCAGTTCCTGAAGGGCCTACTCACCCCGCTGCTGCTGGTGGTGGTGGTGGTGGTGGTGGTGGGGTGGAATTTTTTAAATTGACCCATGAACAAACACATGAATTAAAGTAATTCTTACATGTGTATGTTGATTTTAATGCATATTATATACCTGTGATCTCACTGATACAGTGGCTTAAAAAGAGACCAAATTTTTAAACACATGCGCCAAAATAAAGAAAAATACTTAGTAAATAACATAGTACACAGATGTGACCAAAAATATAAAGGATGAAAGTGAAACAGCCAAAAACTGTTTGGGTTACTTTGGCTTATACACAGGGCGTTCGCTGTGGAAAGATAGGTAGTTAATAATGACCACAGCGCCAAGTGGAATTGTAGCGACATTAGAACAGGTACAATGGTTCCAATTCTCTGTATGCCTCTGAATCAACATGGAGCCTTCCAGATGTATATGGAAGTGGTGCGTTGACTAAAAATCAGTGGCCCGTGGTCTGCGGGCCGGACAGGCGCTCACCAGGTACCACTTCTCCACAGTGAAACCCAGGGCCCCGGAAAACCTCACGCGTCATGCCAACGCCTTCCACATGTGGAAGCTGACCTGGAGCACCCCGTACCCTCCTGACAATTTCCTGTTCTCCGCACTCTCCTACCAGGTCAACATTTCCAACGAGAACGACCCCGAGGATGTGAGTGGGGGATCTGCACCTTGTCTTGGGACTCAGGCGGTTGGAGGCCCCAGGCACTGGGGAGGGAGGGTGGCAAGGACAGCCCTGGGCCAACAGCAATCCCGGGACCTAGAGTCCCAGCTTCTGCCCTGGCTTTTCTGTGCCATCTCAGCCCCGCACCCCCTCACTCCCTATCCATCGGGCCCCAATGCACAGTGTGCAGAAAAGGGAAGTTATTTTTGGGCGCTGCTCCTCGCCTGTAAAGGAAGGTTCTGGGCCATGTCTGTTTCCCAGGACGCTGAGATTTTAGGTGGTCCCTCAGCAGCACACTTAAATGACAGGGTCCCACAGTCAGATGGTCACTCCAAGTCAGTGTCCTCCTAATGCCGACTGGTCAGGGAAAGCGTCTCAGCTGAGCTGACAAGCTCACTAATCCTTCCCAGAGGAGGCCACACACTCAGAGCTTCCCGCAGAAAACACGTTCAGCCATGACTTAATGCCGTTGCTGCGTTCTGACTGCATTTACGTTTATGTGACACTCATGGCATCTGCTACTTGCTTTCCTGTCATAGCAATGATAGTGGGTTCCTTTTTATTTATTTATTTAAATTTTTGTTTTTAGGTTTTTTTTTGTGTGTACGTTTTTTTTTTGTCATTGGGAAATAGTGTGTTTTTCCAGGACCCATCAGCTCCAAGTCAAGTAGTTGTGTCAATCTAGTTGTGGAGGGCGCAGCTCACTGGCCCATGTGGGAATTGAACCAGCAATCTTGGTGTTATGAGCACTGCGCTCTGACCAACTGAGCTAACCGGACGCCCCCATGGGTTCCTTTTTAAATGAATGTACTGACTTTATTAAAAGGGAAGCTGATTTACAGGAAACTAGCAAGTAGATAATAACAGGGGCTGTGCACAGTGTTGGCTTGGCCCCCCTCTATTTTAGTTGCAGGTAGGGGTTGAGGTCACTTCCTGCCACCCTTGTTTTCCCCTCACATGCCCATCAGAGGGACATCTGAACACCATGGGCCCCAGCGCCCCACAGAGCAGAGCTTCAGTACCTGCCCTGCCAGCTGTCCACTGTGTGACTGAGCATGTCGCTTAAACTTTTTGTGCCTCAGTTTCCTCATCTGTAACATGGGAAAAACAAGAATACCACCCATAAGGGCTGTTGAGAGCATAAGTGTGTGACACCAACAAGCTCCCAGTTCTGGCACAAAGAGTCGTAATATCACCCTCCTTTTCTTCTGAGAGCCATGGTCCTGGGAAACCCCCATCTGCCGCGTCCTCCCACGCCCGGGTCTGTAATGCACTCCGTCAGAGTTGCTGAGGGTGGGCGCTGGGCCACGCCTTCTGTCCTGGATGCAGGCCGGCCTGGCCTCAGCCGCCAGGGCCCAGGCCCCAGACATACAAAGCTCCCATGTTGGCTTCTGTTGTTGCCGCTCCTCTTCCTGGCCAGGCCAGGGAGGGGGTGGGTGTTGATTTTTATCTCTCAGGTGTGGTTTCCCCCTTGGCCCCCAGCCAGGAGCTGCATAGGAGCAGGAGTGGGGCACACACAGTGTGAGGCTCAGAGAGCAGCTGGGGAAGGGGGTGTCGCACAGATGCCAAGGAAAGAGGTGGGTTCCGTTTTGTCCCTAAGTCTTCCCAGTCCTGCGTCTGTGCGAGGCTCAGTTTGGGATAGCCTGGAGGGGAGAGAAGAAATATATTTATTGACGTACCATGGCTGGGTCTGGGTGCCAGGAGTCTGTCTGTCACTTGGCCCCGCTTGTTCTGCTTTGGCTGTTTCGAGGCAGGTTCATTCTTCATGTGGCAGCTGACGTGCTCGCTAGCAGCTCTTGGCCTGTGACCTGAAGCTGCGGTGGGAAAAACCTTTCTTTCCAGATACTCTCTATAAAATCTCTGGAGCTGATGCTGAGTTGCTTGGCATCGGGTGGTAGTCCAGTTGCCACTGGCATGCCAGCCTCTGAACCTGTCACAGGCTGTGGGCAGGAGAGAGGGTGCTGGTGCTATGCTGTGCTTGTCCAGGGGTGAGTCATATGGAGCTGCAGGTGGGGTCAGCTCCACCCAAGCCGGATGGGCTGAGAATGAGGCAGGGGTGACTCCCCAAAGGAGACTCTGGGGAAGGGGAAACGGGGACTGACTGGGACGCTGAGACGCAGCCCGGTCTAGGTCCTGGCACGCAGACTCCAGCCAGTGGATAGAATTGCTCATTGTGCCCAGGCGATGGCTCAATGGTCCTGTGGGTGTTCAGGGCTGCCGCAGGCCTCAGAATCCAGGTCCAGCTTCTGTTATTGGTGGGGCAGAGGCTACTGAGTCACCCCTCCTCCATGTCTTCCTTCTCAAGGTCATGGCCAGGTCCGAAGAATTCCCCTCATTAGTCGTTGGCCAGAGCTGGTCACATGCTTCTCGCTATCCAATCACAGGCTAGGAAAGGGACGGCCACGATTGGTTGAGACCAATGAGGACTAACCCTGGAGCTGTAGACAGAGACTTATCTGAACTGAGCTTTGGGTCCTTGATCCCAGTGGCACAGATGCTGGGTGAGTGTCTAGCTGTGTTTGCAGACACATGCACTGGATCAGACTGGATGGGATCAATTCTAAGAATCAATCTTAGAAGCTTGCTGTGGGATTTTGGGAATGGAGTTACTCTTTGCCCTGGATGACTTCTGGAAAAGGCTCCATAATGGAGGTGGAGTTTTGGCCTGGGCATTGAAGGATGTGTAGGAGTTTTCTGGATAGGGAAGGGTAGGCCACGCAGAGGGAGCTATATGAACAAAGGCTTGGAGGCATGAAAATTCATGGCGTATCTGGGGATGATGAGAATATAGGCACGCGTGCGATGAAAAAGCAAGAAATGAGGCCTCACGTTGGTTAAGAGTTACAAATGCCATGCCCACAGTCACAATGGTGACCATTTCTTGTGTGCCTACTATGTGCCATGCACAACATACATTATCACTGATGGCTGGGAAGACCCTGCAGATTGGATGGTACTTGTCTCTCCTTTTTATTGATGAGGAAACTGATGCCTGGAGAGGTGGCATGATTAGCCCAGGGTCCCACATTGGGGAGGGCAGAGCTGGGATCCGAACCCCAGAGCCTGCACTACTTCCCCTCCCCTGGATTTCCCTCTCAGAGGTGGTCACCCAATCACCTTGCCTTTTTGTGAAAAGCAAACCAGCCACAAGGAGTTCCTTGGAAGCTCTGATTTCTCTTTTGTTTCCTAGTAAAACATTTCCCAGTCCCCCACTGCTCCCCCAGGGTGTCCGACTCCTTTGGTAAACTAGATCCAGCTGTTGCTTCCAACTTACTCATGCTTAGAAAGAAAGGAAGATAGAAAGCGAGTGTCCTCCTCTCCCAGCTCTGGTACCTCCTGCAACTCCCACCCCATCCTCAGCTTCCCTGGAAAGCTCCAGCCGTCCTCCAGGTTCTCCATCAACCTGTTGGGGCTTTGCTTCTGTTGTTGTGCCAAACCTCCCGCCACTGGCTCACCTTACCTCAGCCCATTTCCCACAACATGCTTTCAACCTGCAAGCAGAAGCAGCTGTCAGCAGCTGGGAAGGGGCTGGGACAGCGGGTGCCTGAAGATGAGGGAGAGCTGCAAAGGGACGACCCCCCAGGGAGAGGAGCCCCAGGCAGAGGGTCTGGTCCACTCCCCGGCCATCCGACTTGACCTTGAACACAGATTTTATTTCATTTTTTATTTTTTAAGGTTGGATTTTTTTTAAATGTAACATTTACATAAAATAAAAAATTCAAAGGGTAGGAAAGGGCTTAGAATGGAGTTGTGTTTCTCCTTCTCACTGCGACTCCATTTCCTCTGCCCAGAGCCTGGCCACTGTCTCCCTCTCTTGCCAGGAAGGAAGGGAGGCCAGGCTGGAGCCGGCAAAGGGCCTGGCGGTATGTGTGTCCTTCCAGAGTTTATACTTAGTGCAAACAGGTGCCTGTGTGTTCGTTCATCACCATGTTAGCCTTCCATTGCCACATCATAATGTTTCCACAAACATAGCTGCTTTAAACAGCACACATTTATTATGCCACAATTTCTGGAAGTCAGGAGTCTGGGCACGGCCCTGCTGGTGCCCGGCAGCAATCAGGGAGTCAGCCAGGGCTGCGGTCTCCCCTGACGCTTGGCTTGGGGAGGAGCATGTCCAAGCTCCCATGACGTTGGCAGCATCCAGTTTCTTGTGGGCTGTTTGGCTGAGAGCCTCAGGTGGTTGCTGGTTCCTGGCAGGAGGCCCCCCTCCGTTCCTTCCCTCATGGCCTTCTCAGAGCCAGAAAGGGAGAGAGAGAGAGATGGTGTCTTAGAGAGAGGGTACCATCACTTTGCCATCATCTATTGGTCAGAGATGAGTCACAGGTCCTGCCACACTCAAGAAGAGGGGATCAGATAGGGCTTGATACAAGGTGGGGGGCACGGGGGCCCTCTCAGCGTCTGTCTGCCACCATCACTGTGGCTTCTCCCCGCCTCCCACTTTTTAACACAAAAAGGCAGCAGACAACACTTACGAATCATCATCGTATCTTCTTCACTTAACAACAGACCTTGGAACCCTCTTCCTCGTGGGGGCTTGGTAGGGTAGGGCTGATATTGGAGGCTAGTGAGTTTGAGCTTGATCGGGGAGGCTCTGGAGAGCCTATGAAGGAGATAGGGGGAGACAGGGACAATCTCTGTGCTTCAGAAAGATCTGTATTAACCCATTTAATCCTCACACCCACCCTGGGAGGCAGGCACTTTTTTTTTTTTTTCAAAGATTTTTATTGGGGAACAGTGCTGGGGAATTGGGGGAAGGGGAACAGACAAGTTGCTGTTGTTTTGTTCTTTAGTCTAGTTGTGGAGGACGTTGCTTCACTGGCCCAAGTTGGCACCGTCATTGCGCTCTTCCCTGGCGAGGCAGATCAGTCACCGGCTTCTGGACGGCCGCTCA